AAGTAGATATTAGATAAAAAATACCAAGCATAAAAACTAATAAATATATTACTTTATCAGGAAATCTGTCAGCAACACAAGGCAGAGCTTTACCGACGGACATCACATCAGGGAAAATATAGAGTTCATCTGGACTGAGCGCATATTACACGATAATCACAAAGAAAATCAGCCCTAAAATAAGTAATTAGAATAAATCATTAAACCTCAAATTGTGGTGGATAAAAGCACAACTTAATCAATTAAATAAAATGTTTATGAAAGAAAATAAGAAAAGTAAACCTGCGATGATAAAAGAATCAAGCAAGTAATATACAGGCGTTAATGACTCATTTTAAGAAGGATATAAAACAAGCCAAAATAATCCCATACTAAGGATAAACCACCTAACAATAAAAAAGCAGGCAAATCCAAGCAGAGAAATTTTACGTACTACGCAGACATGACATATTAATCATGACAAAAACTAATCCATAAACATTTAGTAAAGCAATGTGTTTTTAGATAAAAAATTAAAATAAAAATTGATGATTGAAAATAAAATAATGTATTATAGATAACTAGACAGTTATCTTAAAAAAGTACATATATAGACAAAATAAGAATAATTTTTATATTTTATAATTAAATTATAAGCAAAACATTTTATTTAATTTGATAATATCTAATTGCATTTTTAACAAATATTTTTATTCAAAGAATTAATTAATACCTCACAAAATTGTTTGTTATTAAAATCTTTGACTTTCTTTTTCTGGACTCGGGTGGCTCGAGTTATGGTCCTATGTGTTTTCATTCGTCATTCATGCTGTTAGCCCCCATTCTTGCTATTGCATTATTCTCGAATGTAGTCCTTTCTTGTTGGTTTTCACATAATTTACTTTTATTTTGAGTTTAGTTGGGCCTCCTGAGTCCTATCCAAATGAGGCTGTATATCTCAAGGTTATGCACCCATTTCCTTCATCCTATTTATTCAAATTGCAAATAGGAAAAATCGGAACAAAATTCGTAAGCAATGAAGTAAATTACTTCCAGAATACTACTTTTTATAATGCATATTTAGTTCCACCAGAACCGGAGCACGCTTGTACTCCAGTTGTGAATGCTAGGAACCTAAGCAATTCTATCGCTTTCATAATGCGAGGGTAGTCGTATTTTTATTTTATTTTCATATCTTTAGTGGCTGTAGCTTTATAACGAAGGCGTTTCATGCTCAATTAGCTGGAGCACTTTCCGTCATAATCTACGATTATGGTCGAGAATCGGATCTGAGGTTGACGATGATCCAAGATGAAACAGATCGTAAACTTACCTTACCTTGTGCTTTCATGACTGGAAAGGACGGGTAAATCAAGTTTTTTTCAATTTGTTTGCTTTGCTTTTTTCGGCATTCTCTTATTCCTAATACAATCATTGTTTTTGGAAATCTGCAGCTATCAATAGCGTGATTTCTCGTAGTGTTTCACTTTTATGCGCACTTGTTAATTTTTAAGACTTGTATTTCTAGTTTCATTAATTTTGGAACCATGGAATTTATTAATCACCTAGATATTTGTTCAATAAACACCCAACCTGGCTTGCTCTAATCACTTTTACGCTGTGGGCATGTCTTATTAGTTTCAAGGGACATTAGTTTGCTCCATGTTTCTTGTTTATACTTTTCATATACCACATCCTTTTATATTTGTGTATTTAGCTCACCGTGCAATTGCAGCTCAATTGTTAATTCATTTTTGAAATATAAAATAGGTCAACCGAAACAAACTAAACTATCACTGCGTGTAAGTGTGATATAGTCTGATTCACTCCTTTTGTTTTGTTTTGTTTGATCACTCTAGTCCTGTGTAAATCTAAAGCATGTATACTTCAGCATTTTAACCATACATCTTTTCATTAAGTCTTATTTATAGTTGCCATTTAAGTACCCATTAAGGCAACTAAGAAATTATAATTATAATCATTAATCCTGGCTTTCTTTCTTGTATTCTATAATTAAGTTTACGTGAATGAATACTTCCATAGTATTCGTCAATAATATTTATATTATTGTTTTGCTTGGTTTATTGCTGGCCCAAAAATGTGACAGACTTTTTTGATTTTTAGACACAAAATAATGAGTGTAATTGATTCAACTCGTCTGGGATATGCTTTAGTTGATTTCCCATTAAATTTTTCTGTCACGACCGTGGCCCGGATTCCAATAGCGCCGTGGACATTGTGGTAATACCTCCACTGCAAAGCCTGAAAATTATTTCATTTATGCTTTTTTGCTGTCTGTTCACTTTCATTGGATGAGAATTTTTTGTTTTAATTCAGTTGTACATAATTAAATAAGCATTCTGTTCTCATACTTTTTTTTTGCCTTTGTCATGCTCTTCTGGAGTATTTCTATCTATGTCTTTTATGATATAATTTTCTTGTTGGTCAAAATTTATTTTTCCTTATATACGTTAAATAAGTATTGTGCGGCAGTAATTGATAAATCTATTTCGCATGGATTATTTTGCGGCCCTTTTTTTAATTTTGCCTTAAACATCCGCTGGCGATCAATGTACTAATATTTAACTAACTTAACTTATAATGTCTGGACGAAGATATGAACCAACGTGAATAACATCCACAGAATAAGCAAATTAATTTTTCAAGGCACAACGGCCAATTTAACATAAAACTATGCTATTATGTTAAGTTATTTTTTGTCAGCCCAGGTCTTTCGCGAAAACCTGCCTACCAAACGTGCTTTGCAAGTCAAATTTTATGTAGCTTAATATTTGTTTGTCTTTTTGATGCCACATTTTTTAAACCATTTTTCTAGAGATTATTCTTCCTTTATAATTTCACAAATAATGAGTCTTCAAGTGCGAGGGATTCGGATCACTGCAAATGTTTATACTTCTCTGGGGAAATAATTTAGGGAGCTATGTTTTAGTTTGTTGTTTGTGTTTTATACTTTGGCGAGCTGCTCTATTACTTGAAAATGCTAAGCAACTGCTCTTTGGTCATTTATTATTTCGTGTGAGGTAAGGCCCACATTCTAGGCATTATGGGAAACCAGATTCACTGATACCTTAATTAGGTTTTTCTACATAGTGTGGGATTCCCAAGACCTTTAGTTCTAGGACTATATGACTAGGGAGTCATTTTGGCCCATGTAGCAATTTTTAAGGCACTTTACTCAAGCAATCAATCAATTAAACCTCCTTACCAAGCAGCCAAAATTGTTAGCTTCTTTCAGCATGAATAGGCCAGGCCAATATAATCGAACATGAAATTCATATGCAGTTATCATTGCAAAATGAGAAGCGCTAAGTTTTTTTTCCAGATTTAACTTTGCAAATACTCTAAGTTCTAAGCCTTTATCTCAGCGAGGATGTGAGTTCTAGTTAGTTAACTCTGTCCTATTTGGACTAAGAAGTCCGTTGATTAAGTGATTTGAATTGATTTTGGATCTTCATCTTGTTATCAACTAGGCGCATTCTAAACCTTCTTGTCCTTAACTCAGCCTAATCTGTATGGCCAATAAAAGAAAATAGAGGCAATGAGTGTTTATGATAACGCAATTCGGTGGAAGGTTTTGCTCCCCAAATTGTGACCTAAGGGCTCGGGTGTATGATTGCATGTTGGAGCATGAAGCAATGTAGACCAGTTTAAGCTCAGCATGGCGGACGAAGCAGGCTTTAAAGAATATCAATTCTAGTGCTATACTAAATCTATGTGTAAAATTAGCATGTGTGCGAATGTACATTTCTGATCCAGTTTACAATCTGTTTATTTGAGGGAATTGTTGCCAGATAGATACTGGTGTGACTCATGTTTATAGATACTACGTTCTTATTTTGCTCAGGTGGACTTATGTTGGGAAGTCTCGTTATATACGAAGAAAAGTTGGGTTTCGAGGAATCTCTTGTTTCATAATTGTTAGGATTACTTCCATTTCGAGTGGAAGTGATGGATGAAGAGATTCGAAGGTCGGTTCCATCAGAAGACGACGGCGAATTCCTCTTGACCAGCTGTCGATTGGCT